GTCTGCATTGAATTGTCTCATATAATAATATTCCGCCCACTATATCACAAGAAATTGCGAGTAGCTGAGTGGAATGGAGATAAGTTAAGCATTGGGTACAGGACCAAGTCTCCCCTGGGTGGTGCCAGAAAATGAGCGCAATAGAATCATCAAGTTGCCATAAGGCACGGAATGAGACTATTGCATGGCTGGGTAGTCAAAGTCTTCCATTCGTTAGTCATTCCAGGTGGATTAGAACAGGTTTAGGTTGGCGTTGGCCAGATTTGGATTTTTCAGATGTAATCCTGGATAGGACCCTGTCATTGAACGTCGCGTGAAAGTGGAACTTAATGAAGGCCTAAGTACTTTTTTGTAGTTTTTAGTTTTCGGATTTGGAAGATCGTCGGTTACAGTGGCCTGCTTACTGAGCAGAAAAACGCGGTCCTAGGTTCTTACATATCAAAGAGATTTATGGTAAAATCGCTTGTGTATCGTGTATTTTGCGCAACTCGTTGTTGTCGTTGGTTCCGGGTTTGAATGGATACACAAATTTGAGCAACGGTATTATGTGATATGAGGGGCTCGGTGGCCTTAGAGCAACCGTTTTTGCTTACTGAGCAGAACATCATGAGTCTAATCTCAGGCCCATCCACATTAAAGATTCGTCAATCGTTTTATTTGTTAATATGACTACATGGTAATAACAGCAACTCGGTGATTAAAAAGGTGCTCGTCTGCCTAGTGGCAAACGTTTTTGCTTACTGAGCAGAAGACCGTGGGTTTAGTCCCAAGCTCCTTCGCGTTATATGATCGTTAGGACATCAATTCAGCTTATCGTTTACCAAAACGAACCCTGCTGCAAACCCAACCCTCTTATCCAACATCCCAGTGATTCCTCGTGGAAGTGCAGAGGTGTTCTCGGCTTCCATCAAAGCGAGTGTCATGTCAACACAATCCTTCCCATTCCTTTCTTGACCTGTGTTCGGGCACGGCCGGCGCTGGTATTGCCTAATTTAAGATCACCAGTTTTTACACATTGAGGATGATTGCTAGTCCCAAGCATCGTCTATTGGTTCTCTGTGTAATTACAGCTGATCTGGCAGTAACAGAGTAGCAACCGTGGGCGGTCAATCAAGCTCAAGCTCAAGCTCAAGTTAGAAGAACTTGAAAGTTCCGGTACCATAATTGAAGAGCATTCTAAGCAGCTTTTGGCGGAACTTGAACGGAACTTTTTGAAAATAACAGGATGGCCAGTGACTTTTCATTTTAAAATTCTCGGTTTTTTTCCCGGTTGAAATCTTAAAAATTTCCCGGTTGTTAATATTCCACAAAAAAACAGAATTGTATGTATTTTTTAAAACGTGGCCAACTGAAAATTTTCGGAGGGTATTAGTGGGAAAAAAGCAAAATTACAGGAAGTATTTTCTAAAGCTGTTTTAAAGTGAAATGTCATTTTTAGCTATATCTCTAAAATTATTTTTTTGGACTACATTTTTTGATTCAGCGCACGATTTTACATGGGAAATGACCAACAACGTGCAAAGTTCAAATAAGCTGTAGACTAGTATAATTATAAAGAAATTATTTAAAATACTTAAAGGGGTTTCTAAATAAAATTTCGAAAGATTTATGCTGTTTTGAATAGAGTTAAAGGAAAACTTTTAATAGAACTTCAAAGAAATCAAAGTCTCCGAATAGGTTCAAGGGAATTCTAAGACGGATTCCAATCAAATTCTTAAGGCTCAAACGCAATGTGGGCGGAAGCGGAACGGAAACGAAAAGTTTGACAGTTGTCAAAAATGGCATCAAGATGCCTAACCGAAGTCAATTTGGTTCTAACCATGGTGGGTATATAAATGGTGATACAGCTTTGTCACTATATAGGCGAGGAGGTCGCGGGGGGGAAAAGTGCGGTTTTAGAGCAAATTGTAAACAAACTCGGTCGCTGTCCCATACAAAAATCCAACATGGCTGAATCATGAATTTGACACATTAGAACACCTATATGTAGCCACCTTGGTTCTAACTAGTTTTCAATCCGACAAAAAGGCTTTCTCCGGCTGTCGACAGAAGCAGACCACTCTCAATATGTGTCACGCGATCGTCTGTTTACTCGGCAGCAACCATTGTGTGGTCCTACTCATTGTTCTTCATCAGCAGTTCTTTCAGTCGATGCGTCGTCAACTTTGCAAAGCAACCGTTTCGTGATGAATGTGTGAGTGCTGACCACGTTTTGCGTCCATTGCTGCAATGGAAGCGCTCTGACCCTCGTTGGCGAATCTGCCATAGAATGAAACCATTGGAAGCGGCTCCCGTTCTGGTGGAGGAGGCTTCTTGGACAGCGGAAGATAAAATGTTTATTGTGTTGTACCTTTTGACTATAGTTTCAAGATGTATTGTATAGTGAACAAGAATCCTCGGCTCTGTAAAGTTAATTCGGTTGAGCCTTATCAAATAAATTAATTAAAAAAGGCTTAATCCGATCGGGCATTTCCGCTACCACTGCCGTTTCGCTTCCGCTGTCATTGCGCTTGGGCCTTTTGAAGGGATTTCAAGGAAATTCAAAAAAAAAATCAACGGTAGTTATTAATTATTAGCATTCCATGATAATTTGAATACATATCATGAAAATTTTGAATAAAATTAAAACCCTGGAAAAGAATAGTTCAGTTTCAGTTTTTTTTTTGTTTCTTAAGTCCAGCATCTTCAATATTTTGTTTTAAGGCCCATGCACGTACATCTGAAATTGAAATGACAAAAATCAAGTTGAAATATTGTTGAGTGATCAAATCCTAAAAACAATAAGATGCTAATCTGAAGAAAATTTAGCAGCAAATAGAGAAAGATATTCATTTGGCTAAGAATCGTTCTGTTTTAATGTTTTTTTTTTTCTGAAATTCTGGTGTGAAAATTTATTCCGATGGTGTGGTTAATTGATTTTTCCTGGTTCTCTGATCGAATTCCCGAGGTTTTCCCGGTAACTTTTAAAATTCCCGTATATTTCCCGGTATTCCCGATTTTTCTGGTTCGCTGGCCAGCCTGAAATAAGTCAAAAAAAAAGGTTTTTGTCCTCTACACCAATTTGCACTTTTATGAAAGTTAATTCTAAAGTCAGGTCTTATGAAAGTTATTTTCAAAGGCAGGTATGAACGTGTATTGAATAAATCAGCATTAGTAGTAGTATTGGAGCTGTTCGAAAAATTAAACCCAATCCTTCTGCGTGAGAGCCCCAGTACGAACCACTACGTCATGTCATCTGAAATATATTAAAGTGAGCTGTTGTCCCACCAACTGATGCAGTTTTCAATGCCAATGTGTTTTCTGACTTGAGTACGAAACACAACACCTTGATGAATTTTAAATTGGTGTTTGCCCAGTAGTTGTAGTTAGCGCTCGTAGATCGCAAGCCGAATACAGGGGTTTGAATCCAGGAAATTGTTCTTTTTTATGTTTGGATAGAATATTGATGCACTGCATAAATATAAGAATTATGATTTATTTGAGCCACTGATCATTTCACATTTACGTACATTAAATTTCGTTACTAATAAAGACTTGTGCGGATTGCTTCATGTGGGCTATGACGGACCTTTTGAGAAACTTTCAAGTTGCTAAGAAGTTCCGCAGGGAACTTTTAAGATACTTTGAAGTTGCTAAGAAGTTCCGTTGGGAACTTGTTCGGAATTTTGTTGTGGTCATGTTTTCAGCCTTACCTGAAGTTCATAAGAACTTCAAGTTGCTAGGAGTACGCATCGGAACTTTTAGGAGAATGAAGTTGCTCGTGAGCTACCTATAGCTTCTAAATTAGCCAGAAGGTTCTTTGGGAACTTTATATGCACTTTATGGAACTTGAAAGTTCTGTCGGAACTTTATTCGATATTTATGGAACTTGAAGGTTCTGTTGGAACTTTATTTGAGCTTTATGGAACTTGGAAGTGAGTTTTATCATTGAATGCGAAACTATTGGTTACTTGGGCAGTTTTTTTGATAAGGAACTGTCTAAGTGTTTTCGAAAAAACTGTGGAACTCTAGGATCAGTTTTATAGATTGCCCATTTTACGGTTGTTCCAGAGCTTCAAGACGCCGGTCCTATGGCCTTCCAGGTACATGTTTATTTCACAATCCCAAATTCATTCTTATATCACAGTTACTAATGTTTTTGAAAAACTGCAGAGCTCTAGGATCAGTTTTATTGATTGACCTCTTTTACGGATGTTTCGGACCTACCAGAGGATGGCCCCCATGGCCATCTGGGTCAATATGTATGTCATGATCCCAATTTCTTTCTTATATCACAGTTCCAAATGCTTTCGACCTACCAGAGGATGGCCCCCATGGCCATCTGGGTCAATATTTATGTCATGATCCCAATTTCTTTCTTATATCACAGTTCCAAATGCTTTCGACCTACCAGAGGATGGCCCCCATGGCCATCTGGGTCAATATTTATGTCATGGTCCCAATTTCTTTCTTATATCATAGTTCCAAATGCTTTCGAAAAAACCGTGGAGCTCTACGATCAGTTTCGTGGATTGACCATTTTTAAGGATGTTCCAAATCTTCCGGAGGAGGCCTTCTTGGTACATGTTTATCTTTCGACCCTAAATTAATTTTTATAAGACAGTTCCAAGTGTTTTTGGAAAAAACGGGTAGCTCTAGGATCAGTTTGACCACTTCTATACGATGTCCATTTGGGTCCATGTTTATGTCACAACCGAAAATTATTTCTTATATCACAGTTCCTAATGCATTCGAAAAATCCGCGGAGCTCTAGGATCAGTTTCGTGGATTGTCCACTTACACGGATGTTCCGGATCATCCGGCAGATTGTCCCATGGCCATCAGGGTTCATATTTATGTCACGATCCCAAACTAACTTTCAAACCCTGCATTCAAGATGCGGACGTATCTCACAAATAACTCCAACTTATTTTGTTTTCCATTGGTTAAATTTTTCTTCAGGCGACCCCTAAACAACGAATTTAGTGAGACGTTTCGGATGACAAGAAGGCAAAATGATATGATATATAAATCTGCATTTATATGTTACTATTACTTATAACCAGCAATTGGCTCCAATCATGTTCAATACATTTCAAAAAAAGATTTAGCAGTAGAAGGATAAAGAACGAAACTTACTTACACATAAAATATTAATCACAAACGGATAGAGCTAAATACGAATCGACTTTAATGACCTTATCGACGATCCGTCTTGCCCGTTCCACGTTTGCCGGCGAACAGATGCTTCGGCATCAGATCCGGTATGTGTCGGTCGCCTTCTCCCTTGCGGGAATATTTCGTCACCCTCTTGGCAATGTCGTGCTTGGCCATAACCCTCGCCTTCTTCTTGAGCTGTTAGGAAACAGAAAAAAAGCAAATGTTACACAACAGTGTTGCGAGAGATATTGCAGAATTGTTAATCTTACCACGACATCCTTGATACCCATCTCGTGTCCCGGAGTTCTCCTCTTGAGCAGCTGCCCGGTAGCCTTGACAATGGCAGACGATTCGTGATCCTTTTTGGGTGTTTTGGGGCCACCGACCGCTGGCATAATGCTACGGCGAATATCAACCTGGTTCTTGGAGAAGTTCGCTTGCTCGGATCCAGCCATATCGACTCCCAGATTTTCCATAGTTTTACGCAGATTGTCCACCTTGCGATCACGAACCATCGCTTGTTTGTGTCGGGGCATAACCGGACGGCCACTCTTCTGTTGCATCTTACGAGAATCTTTAAGCAGGAACCGTTTAAGCCGGATTTGCTTAGCCATTTCTCGAATCTCCAGGAGAGTTTCGTCCAAATTAAGCGGCGGAGGATCGTAGAATCCAGCTTCCAGACGAAGCCCTTCTTCGCGTTCCAGTTCTTCCAGCTTTTCGAAAATATCCAGATCGATATAGTCTGCGATGTTGACGCCGTTGAGGAATTCTGGAATAACGTCATGCCGTTCCTCTTCCGCAATGTCGGTGTAGTTCTTCTTGAGGTCCAGAATGTACTCGTCTCCCATTTCCAGTTCGATTTCCTTTTCAAGTTTCCGTTGGCGACGAGCGAGCTTATCTGCATTTGCAGCCCTGGCTGCGAGAACTGATTCTGGTATGCACGCTGGACGCTCTTTGTCATCACGTTTTTCCGGCATGGCCACATGCAGCCGGTTCAGCACACCATCAATCTTCTTAGCCTTCAGCTTCTGATCCACACGGTAGCCTAGTAGACGCTCGCAAGCTTCTGTCTTGACTTCGATAACTCCCTTTTCGGTGACGGTAGACATTTGCAAAATCGGAATCTCCTCGGCTTCATCTGCAAGGTCTTCGATGATTTTCTTCTTCTCGGGATCCAATTCATCCATAGTCAGAATATCGGTTTTGTTCAAGACAAGAAGCAGTGGTTTGTTGGCGAACAATGGTTTGATGCTGTCGAAAAGTTTTGCCTGTTCCTCAATCGAATGACCACACTGCTCGGAAACATCCATGAAATAGAGAATGCAAGCTCTCAAGTGAGCCATGGCCGTAATGGCCTGCATTTCAATGACATTTCTCTCCTCCAGGGAATGATCCAGAATTCCAGGCGTATCAATGACTTGCCATCTGAGATATTTGTAATCCATATGACCGACGTACAAGCTCTTTGTGGTAAATGCATAGGGTTGCACTTCAACGTCTGCTCGAGTGACTTTGTTGATAAAACTGGATTTGCCTACATTCGGGAAGCCACAAATGATAATCGTTCTGGTGTATGGATCAATCGATGGCAAACGGGACAGATGCTGGCGAACCTGTTCTAGATAGGTAAGATTGGAAGCCTGACGTTTCATTATAGTGGCCATTCGGCCAAGGGCGGCTTTCTTCAACTGCTTACAACGGTACAGCGAATCTCCGAATTTCAGCAATCGAACGTAATCCTTTGCCACACTAAAAAGTATATTACAAAATTGGAACCTGATATTTCTTAGATTATTTTTCTCATTCTACTCACGTATCAATCAAATGTCTGGCCGTATTCAGCTGTCCAAGTGCCAATTTGTAATGGTCCTTATCGTACAGCACATTCATCAGATCCGCATAGAACGGATGAACATCGTCCAGCTTGGGAAAATCTTGAATGATTTGCGACAATCGATCGTGGAAGTTCTGCTGGGTGTATTTCACCTTGCGCATATAGAATCCCCGGATCCGGCTGATTTTGTAATGCTTATGGACCACGGTCGGCGTTTTCCGCTGGGTCTTCGATAGCATAATATCGATGAAGGCCTGAAAAAATCATATCGATACAGGTTAGGAATGACGTCGTCCAAAACAATCCAATTCACCTCATTAATCAGTCGGAATTTCACTTACCTTTGCTGGCGGCACCACCATAATCTTTTTGAAATTGTACATACTCATTTTGGAGAATTTTCCGGCACTTTTCCGCGGAAAATACTTGAAAAACCGTCGGACAACGGTTCAGTACCAAATCAACACGAGGTGATGGTACGAAAAAAGGAGTGAGTTTTGACGTTTGCTGCAATCGGTCAACAAACGTGGAGAGAGACAGAAACGAAAAACACGCGGTTGTCAAATTGACAGTCGAGGGAGTGGCCGTTTGATTGCTGCAGCACCTCGCGGTGAGCACTGAATACAGTACACGCTATACACGCTATTTTAAAACTACCCAAATTTGGGTAGAGCCCACCTACACGGAGATGAAAAACTACCCAAAATTAAGTACTTTTCCCTCAATGGGGATGTTTAGGGGTATTGATGTTTTTACATATTCGTAATCTACATTAAAAATGGAACCATTGCATAAATTTTGGTGCACAGGAACTATGTTAAATTAGTGCGATTACATTTTCAAGCATCACCATTTTAGCGCCCCTCACCATAGAGTGAACTGTCATTTAATGGATTTTAATGCCATCGAATGCAATTTATTGACAATTTAAAACGTGGTTTACAAATCAAGATGAATGTCCCATGTATTGCTGATTGCATCTGAAACTGGACTGTCCCAAAAATTCAAAAAGTGTGATAAAAGTGCACGTTTCCGTCAAATCGTTTTGATGTCTTGGGAGCACTTATTGCTTGCATTATAAGGAATAAGTGCATCGAAGACACCAAGACGATTAGATGTAAACTTGCAATTTTATCACACTTTTTAATAAGTGAAAACGCGCTTATTAGTCCAATTTGGTGTGAAATGCGCATTACACACTTAGAAAAAATTACCGACTTCGGTGATTCATTTACCGAATTCTCAACAGCTGAACGGTCGGTAAAGATTTCGGTAATCGAGAGCATTACCGAAAAATCTGTAAACTGAATCAGCAAAATTAGCTTTCAAATCTACCGAACGATCGGTAACGTTTACCGAAAACATAAGCTTGATTTGTAATCGACTTTACTGGAGAACTGTAAGTTTGGAGTCGATATGGAGATTGAAATTTACCGAAAGATCTGTAGTTTTTTTTATTATTACCGACTCAACTTTAATTCGCTTAATACCCCGTTCACATTACAGCGTATATCACGTGATATACGCTGTCTTGCAATGAGCACTCATGCATCTAGTTTTCACTGGAAATCCTATGTATGAGTGCTCATTGCAAGACAGCCTATATTACGTGATATAGGCTGTAATGTGAACAGGGTATAACACTCCGAATACGATGCCTTCGAAAAACGTGTAACGGCAAGTTTGCAATGGCACAACTTAGCCATTTCTTAATGAATTTCAAAAATTTTGGTACCTTTAGAATTCCTAGGGTTTCTAGATGATTTTGATTGCAAAACACTTGAAAATAGAGTCGTCTACTTTTTTAAAAAGCTACAAGAGTTGTTACACGTCTTTTTGAAAGGTGTGTTTGTAGGGGTTTGCAAGTGGCGCAAGATCTGTAATTTAGATTAATGGGCACAAATGTTCACAATTAGCCAGAATACAATCATGGTGCCTATATATGGATCCTGGAGACAACGGAACGGTCCTCGAAAAATCCGGAACATCCGTAAAAATAGTCAATCCATGATCCTGATCCTAGAGTTCTGCGGTTTTTTTGAAAACATTAGGAACTGTGATATAAACAAATATTTGGGGTCGTGACATAAACATGTACCTAGATAGCCATGGGACCGTCGTCCGGAAGATCAACAACATCCGTAAAATGGTTACTCCATAAAATTGAGAGGTGGAAGCAATACTATGACGAGCACCTCAACGGTGATGCAGTAGAAAACGAAGGTGGCACGGTAACAGACCTTGAAGCACGTGCAGGAGACGACAGGCTACTGGCCCCTGATCTTCAAGAAGTTGAGGAGGAGATCGGTCGACAAAGCAACTGGTGTAGATCAACAACCAAGTAAGCTATTAAAATACGGTGATGAAGCACTGGCTAGAGCGCTGCACTGGGTAATTGCCAAGATTTGGGAGGAGGGGATATTACCGGAGGAGTGAAGCAAGGTGTTGTTTGCCCAATCTACAAAAAGGGCGACAAGTTGGATTGCTGCAACTACCGCGCGATCACACTGCTGAGCGCCGCTTACAAGGTACTCTCTCAAATTATACGCCACCATCCCACTGCGTCCTAGCAAGAAGTACGGTCGACTTGTTTCGCGCTCCGTTGTTTTGGAAGTTTTTTCGGTATTCGCTTGATATAAATTATCAGTTTTTTTCTCACTAAGTGACTCCTGGCATAGTTCCCGGTAAATTGATCGAAAAGTGAGTTTTTTTTTAGTAGAAAGTGTCATTTTCGGAAAGATTAATCCGTGCTATTGGAAATTCGCAAACAAATTTGGGCATCATCGTTGCGTGGTCACGCATACGCGCTCACGTATCATCATCATCGAGTGTGAGCACCCGTTTCTACATCTACATCGTTCATCAATCATCGTGCGCCTGTGTGCGCTGAGTGCCGCGCCTCGATCAAGTGCACCACAACGAAGGTCATCCACGCAGCGCGTCTCTTCCAGCCATCTGTGTAAACGCCTACACATATAACGCTCGGTGGTAGTAGTATAGGATTATCAGATAAGTTTTTGTTTTTTTCTTGTTTCTTTTACTCCCCCATTAGTTAAATTTTCATTTTGTATTTCTGTGTTTGTAGTGTTTTCTGTGTATTGTGTCGGTGCGTTCAGTGGGAGAGCGTTTTGCGCTCCCACTAGTTGAACAAAATGGATGTTTTGTCAGAAGACGACATGGATGACCATTCATCGCAGAAGAATGATGATGTCATCCCTGGTTCGTCGTCTCAGTCTGTCGATGGGCAGGCTGAGAAAAGCACCAGATTGCGGGCCTACCCGAATGACTCGACTGGCCCATGGGTTGTCTATTTTCAGCCCAAAAACAAACCCTTGAATGTTGTTCAGATATCTGATGATCTGACAAAGCGATTCTCTGCCGTGACCGAAATAACGAAGGTTAGGCACAACAAACTTCGTGTGACCGTCGCTAACCTGAAACAGGCCAATGAAATTGCTGTTTCCCAGTTTTTCACACTGGAATATAGGGTGTACATTCCAGCTTCTGATGTGGAGATCGAAGGCGTGGTCACTGAGGCGAGTCTGAACCCCGAGATACTGGAGAAGCAAGCGGTTGGCCGATTCAAGAACCCCTTGCTTCCTCCGGTAAAGATACTGGCCGTTCATAGAATGAAGTCAGTATCGCTCAGCGAGGGTAAAAAGAGTTTTACCCCCACAGACTCGTTTCGGGTGACCTTTTCTGGATCTGCCCTTCCTCAATACATCGAGCTGGGAAAACTTCGTCTTCCTGTGCGGTTGTTTGTACCTCGGGTCATGAACTGCCAGCATTGTAAGCGGTTGGGACATACGGCCTCCCACTGCGGCAACAAGGCACGCTGCTCCACATGCGGGGAGAAGCATGAGGATGGCGCCTGCACAGCTACTGCACCAAAATGCGTGTACTGCAACGGAACTCCTCCTCATGCTCTCTCGTCGTGCCCGGCGTACAAACAGCTCGGGGACAAAATGAAACGCTCCCTTAAGGAACGTTCCAGGCGGTCTTTTGCAGAAATGCTTAAGACAGCCACGCCATCGACCAATGACAAAAATCCCTTTTCTCTTTTGTCAGATGACGAGACTGACTCTGACTTGGCTGAGGAGGGAACTTCTTTCAGTTTTCCGGAAGGTTCTGCACGGAAACGAAAGCGCATCCGTTCGCGGATTGTTGCAAATAAAGAACCCCAAATCAGCTTGCCTAAATCAAGGAGTGGTGGAAAAAAGGAGACTTCTACTCCTCCTGGATTCCGCAGAACTGACTATACCCAGGATTTTCCACCACTTCCGGGGACATCCAAAACCCCTGATGCCCCAATTTTAAGAACAGAAACCCCTTCTTCATCTGGGTTGTTCTCATTTGATGACATTGTGGACGGTATTCTCAAATACCTCAACATTTCTGATCCTCTGAAAAGCATTGTCCTCACATTGCTTCCCACTGTGAAATCCTTCTTGAAGCAATTGACTTCAAAATGGCCCCTTCTTGCAGCTATCATCTCCTTCGATGGATAATTTTCCAAACGAGGTCGGGGATTTGATCACTGTTCTACAGTGGAATTGTCGAAGTCTTATTCCGAAATTAGATTCGTTCAAGTATTTAGTCCATAACAATAATTGCGATGCATTTGCCCTCTGTGAAACATGGCTCTCTTCAGAAATTGATCTCCCTTTTTTTGATTTTAACATTATTCGATTGGATCGTGAGGATTCACGTGGAGGAGGGGTACTTTTGGGGATCAAAAAGTGCCATTCCTTCTATAGAGTGAATCTTCCCGAATTCCCCGGTATTGAAGTTGTCGCATGTCAGGCTACCATTAAAGGTAAGAGCCTTTGTATTGCTTCTGTATATATTGCTCCTAGAGTCTCTGTTAATTGCAAACAACTTTTCGACATATGTGCGGTACTTCCCGCTCCATGGTTGATCATGGGAGATTTTAACTCCCACGGTACAGGCTGGGGGGAGCTGTACGATGATAACCGTTCTACTTTGATTTATGATCTCTGCGACAACTTCAACATGACAATCCTTAACAATGGAGAAGTAACACGTTTGGCTGGTCCATCCTCGAATGGTAGCAGATTAGACCTCACCTTTTGCTCCAATTCACTATCGTTGGATTGCACTTGGCATGTAATCCAGGATCCGCACGGTAGTGATCATTTGCCGATCAAAATTTCGATTGCCAGTGGGTTCAACTCGTCAGAATCCGTTAACGTCGCGTATGATCTAACCCGTAACATCGATTGGACTAAGTTCCAATCCGCGATAGACGATACAGTATCGTCAGTGGAAGAGCTTCCGCCGTTGGAGGAATATAATTTCCTCTCTAATCTCATCGTCGACAGCGCACTTCAAGCTCAAACACGACCGGTGCCGCGATCGTCAATCCGTAAGAAAACACCATCGCTCTGGTGGGATCAACAATGCACGGAGGTTTACCGTAAAAAGTCCGACGCGTTTAAACTTTTTCGGAAACGCGGAACACGCGAGCATTTCGACGCATAC